AACATATAATGAAGCACAAAACATGAGTCTTTTCCGCTGAAATTTCCAAATCACACTGTCTCTTGTTACAACGTACATCTTACCACAGAGGTCTATGACTGAAAGTTTAAAAGATTCAGTTAAATGAGCTAGAAAATTTACATAACGAAGTAGAAACATCCAGAAAGATAGCAGAGACCTTGCCAAACCAAGAACATCACAATAACTACCAGCATGCAAAAGCAAAATTTGTAAGGGCAAAGCTGCAGGTTAGAAGGGAAAGCTGGCAGGAGAAAACAAGGTCGCTGAACTTTGAAAAAGACACAAGAAAGTTATGGAAGCTTGTGAAACAAATTAATGATGAGGACACAGGGTGGAACTCAAAGATCACGCTGCAGAAAGATGGAAACATGTTCACAGGAAAAGAGGCAGCCAACCTATTTGCGGACACTTTTTCTTTAGATAACGATATTGAAATCAGTTCAGAGAAAAAAAACACGAAATTCAAGAAAAGACACAATTTAGAAGTCAGAAAGAAATAACATCAGAGGCGCTAGAGGTGCCAATTACACTTAATGAACTGGAGTTGGGCATTTCAAAGCTGAAAATGCGGAAATCACCATGAGCAGATGGTATATCAAACGAAATGATCAGAAACTTAGGAAAAGTAGCCAAAACAAAGCTTTTACAAATATTTAATGCTTGCTGGGCAACAGGGAATGTTCCACAGATCTGGAGATACTCCTCATAAAGCCTGGGAAAGACAGTTCTAATGCCTCCAACTACAGACCGATCAGCCTCACAAGTTGTCTCTGTAAAACAATGGAGCGCATCACCAACCTCAGACTACAGTGGTACATTGAAAGTGAAAACATCATTACACCACAGCAGGCGGGCTTTAGAAAGTTCTACTCTACAGAAGACCAGACAACATACCTCTCCCAAGAAATAGAGGATGCTTTTCAAGATAAGAAACTGGTACTCGCGGCATGGATAGATTTAAGAAAAGCTTTTGATAAGGTTTGGAAGGTGGGGCTTTTGAAGAAATTGAGAAACTATAAAATAAATGGAAAAATGTACAATTGGATTAAAGCAAATCTACATAACAGAAGAGCTTGGGTACAGGTAGATGGTTAAAAGTAAAAAAGTTGTACTGCGACAAGGCGTCCCTCAAGGTGGTGTCCTGTCGCCCACACTTTTCCTTTTATTCATCAACGATCTGGTTGCTGAGATACCAAATGGAATCAAAATGGCAATGTATGCCGACGACCTGGTACTGTGGTGCACCAATGAACATGCAACGATAGCCACAAAAACACTACAGCGGGCTACAAATGCACTTGAGGCATGGGCCAATAGATGGTGTGTCAGCATCAACACAGACAAATGTAGCACCACACTATTCACCCTCTCCCCAAAGCAAAAAGCCGGCACCATCAAAATAAACGAAAAACCCCTGAGAGATGATAAAGAGCCCACATACCTAGGAGTCACATTTGATGACAGGTTGACATGAAAAAAACATATCAACAAGGCAGCAACCAAAGCCAGGAGGAAGACAGCAATACTAAGAAAACTAAGTGGAACTACATGGGGAGCCGATGGGAAAATACTAAATAAAGTATACAAGCAGAGCATACTTCCACACTTGGAATATGGGTCAACTGCATGATGTTCAGCATCTAGTACCACATTAAAGGAGTTAGACAAAGTGCAAAATCAAGCGCTCAGAGTCATCACATTAGGGATGAAATCAACCCCCATATTAGAAATGGAGAAAGCTGGGAAAACACAGGCACTGAGAGAACGCAGAGATACAAAGTTGCAAATACAAGCTGAAAAGTTCCTCAGTATGCCAGATCACCCGATGGAAAATAGATTTAAGAACCTAGCCTTAGGACGGTTAAAAAGAAGCAGCTTTATACACCAAGCAAAAAGAATATGTAGACATACAAGACAGTGTACAACGCAGAATGGCCACCCTCAGTTATATTGATGAAGAATACCCACAAGAACAATGGGTCAGAGTCTATACAGATGGGTCCGCAGAAAGTGCAGTTAGAAATGGTGGCGCTGGAGTGTACATCAAATTCCCAGATGGTACTAGGGATAAGTCCAGCGTACCAACCGGGAAGTACTGCCATAACTACGATGCAGAAACCCAGGCTATCAAGATAACTACAGAGAAACTGCTAAATACCAACCTTGGCTCACAGTATGTGGTAATGCTGACAGATGCTAAATCAGTGCTTGAGGCACTCCAGTCTAGGAAACTACCAGAATGCAAACACTGCTGACACAACTCAGCGTTCAGCGAAGAGTCGTAATGCAGTGGATACCGTCTCATTGTGGAGTGCCTGGAAATGAGAAAGCTGATCAACTGGCAGGGGAAGGTGCGACAAAAGAGCAGCCGGATGTACCAGTCACATACCACCAAAAGAAAAGAATCATTAAATCGATCAGGAAACCACCAGCCCCAGCACAAGACGACTATTTTATTATGGACAGACCAGAACAAGTCATTATCCTCCGCCTCAGAACAGGTCACAACCGATTACGTAACCACATGTACACAAAATTCAAGATAGGTGTATCAGCCATGTGCACCTGTGGAAATGTGCCCCAGACAGCAGAGCATGTACTCCAGGACTGCACCGATTTTGACACATTAAGGCAAACCTTTTGGCCAGAAAGAACAACAGTGGAACGTAAACTCTATGGACCACTGAATGAACTAACAATGACAGTGAAATTTATACAAGAGACAAAACTGCTGATATAGATAACTTATTTCAGGCGAACAAAAGAAGAAGAAGAAGGTAGCATGCTTTAGTTTAATTTTTTTTTAAATGTATATAAATAAATATGTGTGCAGCACGGCTGAAGAATTTTACAAATAAAAGAGTGCCAAACTTTAGTAGACTTACAAATAGAGTTAGTGGGCCTTAATGCACTTTACAATAAAAGAGTGCCATACTTTAGTAGACTTACAAAAAATGTTAGTGTGCTTTAGTGCACCTTTACAAATAGAAGAGTGCGATTCTTTACTAGACTAACAAAACGATTTAGTGTGCTTTAGTGCACTTTTACAGATAAGAGTGCCATACTTTAGCAGACTTAAAATAAAGTTAGTGTGTTTTAGTGCACTTTTACTGATACAAAAGTGTCATACTTTAGTAGATTTGCAAATAGAGTTAGTGTTCTTTAATACACTTTACAAATAAAAGCGTGCCATGCTTTAGAGACTTACACATAGGGTTAGTGTGCTCTTACATATAGGGTTAGTGTGCTTTAGTGCACTTTTACAAATAAAAGAAGAGTGTGTTTTAGTACTTTTACAAATACAAGAGTAATTTGGTTTAGCAGATTTTTACAAATAAAATAGTTGCCTTTGTAAATTACTACCAAAAAAAAAAAAAAGAATAATCTGCAGTTTGGTGCTGACAGTAAAAACATTTAGTGAGGCTTGCATGTCTCTGTCCCAGCTGTGACTTTATGGGCACCCAAGAAGAGCTTGAGGACCATATGAAGACCTGTAAGTTTGAGAGTATGAAGGATTTCCTCCAGCGTACGGAAGAAAAGATGACAGACTTGCAGGTTAGTAAGACTGATAACCCACATGTGATGAGATAACATTAGTGAAAAGGAGCGGCTGGTCGAATGGTTAAGAATGCAGGATCTTAAGCTGAAAACCTGGGTGTTTAAATCCTTAGTAAGGTTGGGGATGTTAATCTATCGGGGGCAAAATGAAATCCAAACCTGCACAGTACATGATGACAGCAGTAGCCATGCAGCCCTAAATCCTCAGGCTGAACAACACCCCTGAATGCACAGCAAAAGTAGTAAACGCAGGCAATAATTTTTACTTTGGCAGTGGAGAGTTAGTGTGTATCAGTTAAATATACTTTATTGTCAGCATAAAGTTTTTGTCAGTTTTTCAGGTTTTTTGTGTGTGTATGTTTGTAACTCTCTATCCTGTAATCCTGGACAGTTTAACTATTTTTTTATATCCTTGGTGAAATCTACTTGCCAGTTTCATGAGAGGAGAAGAAAAACTGACATTTAAAAAAATCTGAACATCAAGAAAGATTGATTAATAAATAGCATCTTGTCTCAGAAGCTGAAATATTTTGGCCATATGAAGCGCCATAGCGGGTTGGGAAAAAATTAATAGCAGAAAGCATGGTACCAGGAAAGAGGAGCAGGGGCCGACCAACGCGAAGATAGGGACAGGATATAAGTGACTCCTTGAATATGAAAGTACGTGAGTCGGGAGATCTGGCAAGAGACTGAGTTTCTTTGAGGCAGACTGTGATGAAAGCGACTGTCTGCAAAGGACCTGCTGTATGATGATGTGTATAATATTTTTGACAGCCTTTTGGTGCTGCATGGAAGGGTGCCACACCAGTTGGCAAAGCACACACTGTTTATGTGTGGATAGATATAAAATGAAAATATAAAAATAAAACCAGTCAGCTTCACAATATCACAAACACAAAGGTGAATGTTGCGGCCAAAGAACCTTCATCAGCACATACATAAATCTATAATATCACAGGTACAGATAGGAATATACAAAATAACTTAACTGGCACAACTCGAATATAAATCACATTTCTGTCTGGTCAGTAGAATGTCTGACACATGTGTGGCCACCAGGACTAAATACTGATCAGAAAAGGGTCACGGGTGACAAGAGCCGCAACTCCACCGATTATATGTGTATGCATTTAGAAGAAAAGGTAAAGTTGAAAGGATCGACTTCATTGCACAGGTTTTTATCCCATATGGCTTGGTCTCTCTCAGCAGAACAGCTAGCTGCCTGGCGAGAGCATTGCACAGAGCATGACTTCCATAACTCCGGCAACGATCCTCAGGAATCTCCGTAAAAATTGCACCCTTGAACTGAGCGGTCACGCCATGAATCGAACCCCCGTCCATTTAGAAATATCCTGCCGTTGTGTCTTATATTGTTTCATCAGGGATGTACTCTTCTTTTTCTGTTTTCGTTTTGTTTTTAGATGCATCTGAATGAGAAAGATCAAGAGATTGAGTTTCTCCGGTCTATGTTGGGGCGTTTGTCAGAGAGATTGGAAAATATGGAAAAATCTGTGGACTTGAAACTTGGTCTGTTTACCAAAATTTACATTCTTACTAACAAAACATGTGTGTCTGTAAAATCATGGTGCACTTTATACCGGTCACAGGATACAAACAAAACAGGATAGAAATGTGAAATCTTCATCAAATAAAAGGAAAACTTTCCAAGTTTCTTAGTATAATGATGTGCTAGTGTGTGCATACTGAATAGGTACGCAACTTCTAGAGTTTTCCTTTCATTTGGTGAAGATTTCACATTTCTATCTTGTTTGATTGATTTCCCATGACCGGTCAAAAGTGCACCATGACTTTACGGACACACAGTATATGTGTATTTATATATGTTTCAGATTATTTTATAAATATGTGGTTATGGAAAGTGAGAATGTTTATTGAGTGTTATTTCAATACAAAATATGAACAGTTTAAAGACTTAATGTTTCTTCTGCATATCCCCAGATGGAATGGTAACCATAAAAAAAATGCTTTTTTTTATTTCTTTCAAAGAAGCATTTACTTTACTATGTGTTACAATATCTAGCCAGATTTCTGTCCTATACTTAGACCAAATGTAAAATATATAATAACACAGCATTCATTACTTGCTACACAAGAACAGTAGCTGTTCAATAATAATATGCTATATGTAGTAAACTGTACAGATCTACATAAATAGGTCATCATGGTCTAGTGGAACAGTGCAGTGAGGAGTTACCGGGGATCTAGCTAGTGCTTATCACTCAGGGACAGACATGCAGTCAGAAAGTTACTGGTACCATCAGAATTTGAACTCTGTGCAAACTGCTGAAGATAGGGATGGAGCGATTATGGGAATGTCCCGGGTGCTCTGATGTCAGATCTTCTTTTACTGCCCTTTACCTACCAGTGGAGCTTAGGCCCTTAACCAGCTCACACTAAGTTGTCCTATCCTTGTCTGTTGCATGCAGCTCACCCCATATCCTCCTTGTCTTTTTAACTGCATTGTCTAGCTCCCTTCTTCATGTGTTGTCTTTTAGTCTGCCTTTATTTCTCCCCCCCCCCCCCCCCCCCCATGAGTTTCATTTCAAAGACATTCAAGTTCTATTTTTTGTTATTTTCACCATTGTGTCCTATCCAAAGTCAGCGCATTTTCTTCACCTCTTGATTCACTGGAATTTGTTTAGTTCTCACCCAAAGCTCAACATTAGTAATTCTATCATATCATTTAATTCCTTCTATTCTAGGCAGGCACCAGTTGATGAAGGTTTGTAGTGTATTCGTTGTTTTAGTTGTTATTCATGCTTCCACTCTGTATAGCAGTACTGATTTGACATAGGAATTAAACATTTTTGTTTAGCATTAGTTTTAATTTCTTCCGACTTCAACAGATTTTCGAATGCAAAAAAATTTAATTTATATTTAATTTGTGTTTAATTTGTATGTGCTGATGAAGGCTCAATAGCCGCAACTTTCACATTTTGTTTGTAATTGTTATATTTTGAAGCTTGCTTTATATCTTTTCTTAATTCAATAAAAATGTCTTTTGCCTTTTTATTCTTATTCTCCCTGTGTGGGTTCCGAGGGGCCCCATTGTGGGGAAAACAAGAATAGACCCTCTGCCTAACCAGAAGCATATCGTAAGAATCGACTAATTGGGAGCTTCCTTCCAAGTCGGAGTACATCTGCCTGAGAGGCAAGGAACCAACAGTCTGCATGCAAATGAGTCAGGCCTGTGAAATAGATGTGCATACAACACTCAGTTTCTGGAAGAGGACTAGAGTCCAGAAGTGGACGAACAACCAGAACTTTCACCGGAGTTTACAAAGGTTAGTTGCGTAACCTTTACAGGATGTTGCAGAACCAGCCCCAGCAGCAACTGGCTGTTGTGTGGTTTCTTTAAGCACATTTACGTCCAGTAGTTTGCCATTGCTTTCTGGACGGTCGGCTTCTTCATACCACCGTCGAAACCAGCGCAAGGCGCATGGCCCGCAGCTGGGATCGAACCCAGCATTACAAAGCGTTCGCATCGACTTAGCCACAGAGCCGACTCCAGAGATTACAGCCGGTATATAAAAAGAAGAAGGAGTATTCTTATTTTAATTTCTCTGTCCGTTCTCCCATCCTATCTGCATTATTGCCCAAATAAGTGTATGACTCCACGTCTTGGAACAGGGTATAGCTTTCACTTAAGGATTTTTGGACCTAATTGTTGTGATCTCACATCAATTGTATTTAATATATTGTGCTTCTGATTCAGTGAGTGGGATAGAAAAGAAATGTTATCATTTAAATGCAGGTCATCAAACTGTTTTGTTGTGGTCCACTGAATTCCTTTGCTGATGGTAGCTGCTCAATCTTCATCATCCAGTTAATAACTAGTAAAAATTGTAGAGGTGCACACCTGGTGTTGGATCTTAACTCATGCTATTAATATTATATTTTTGAGCAGGCCTCATAACTCTAGTGACTACGCCACCATGGCTCGCACAGTTCTTATGTGATAATCACCTCTATGTTTATTGACTTTTGCAGTCGTTTTTTCATATTTCAGAACTGGTAGAGCTAAATCAAAGTAAAATAATGGATGAAATTATGGATAACAGAAAGGATATCACTGCTGTTACGGTGAGTTATTTATTTCTTGGAATTTAAGCAAAATGGAAAACAATAAGTGTTAAAAAAAATTTTTTTTTTGGCAGATCATCTCCCTATGTGGGTTTTGTTGGTTCCTTGCCTTTAAGCCAGGTGTACTCTGACTTCGAAGGAAGTCCCCAATTAGTCCAATCTTATGACATGCTTTTTTGGGAAGGCAGTTGGTCTGTTCTTGTATAACCTACAATGAGACCCCAGAACCCACACAGGAAACATTGCACATAATAACTTGTTTTTTTTGGATGAACTTGCCTAACCTTTATGTTTGTGTTGAGGTTTGCGCGTGTTCAAGGCAGTGAGCATGCAGATTATCTGGTGATTACCATGATCAGCCTGGCACCGGGCAGGAGCAATGTCATTAATGCCAAACAAGATGCATTTCACAAAGAAGATTATGACAATAAGCAGGACTGAGTGTCCTTGTCCCAGTTGGTGGACATGGGAGTGCAACCTGGATTAACCAGACGTGAACATTCACGGAGTAGCCAGACGTGAACATTCACGGAGTAGCCAGACGTGAACATTTCACCAAGAGCACAAAATGCCTGACTAATCAGCACAGAACGGGCATGATCTGTGGTTTTTCTCTTGTGGAGCTACTGAGGAGGAGATCAGAGCACTTATGGATCTGTCTAGAGGGCTATGATGGTGAAAATCTTTTCTGATCACTAATGATTTCATCATGGATAGACAGTGGATTGGAAGTGGGGGGAAAATGATAGAATGGGCAAGAGGTCAGGAAACACTACATTAAAAATTTAGATAAAACCAAGTTAAATATTCAGGCAGAGTTGAGATAGAGAGCCCAAATGAATGATTAACATACAAGTATATATAAATAGTTAGTCTCAGTCTTAGTCTTGGTCGAGGTTTCATCTTCACTGCAATCAGGTTTCCCCAAATTTGCTCCGTTTCTGTGCCAGTGAAAATCAAATGAAATATCCCTCACTGAAAAATTGGTGAACAAGCAATAAGTCCCGGAACAATCCAGAAATATGTGCACACAGTAAATGCAAATATCATTGTCTGATACTCTTGGTCACAGTGTTATTCCATTTGATGACAGCTTTCTAGTCGCAACATACATGTTGACAAAGTCAACAGTCGGCACCAGAGGTGCAGTTTGTCGTTGATGAAATTATTACGTTACAGTATTACAAGTTATTTAACCATATTCAACAGTCGGCACCAGAAGTGCAGTTTGTTGTTGATGAAATTATTACGTTACAGTATTACAAGTTATTTAACCATCTCATGTGTAAACCGGCTACCGACCATGTTGAATTTTGTTATTTTATTGTTGCAGGATGAAATGTCCATTAACAGCAAAAGAATTGAGCAATTAGAAATTACATTTGGTCGTACGTATTTTTTGCATGTTGTTTTGTGTTTCTGATGCATCTTCTCTTTTAAAAGTTCTTACTAGTTTAAACATGTGGTAGTAAACATGATGTTTGCCGCCGCTAGACGCTCGCCTGTGGGTTGGAAGGTCGTGGGTTCTGGTCCTAAAGGATCCCGACTTTTTATTTAGGTTGGACCTTAGCTTCCAGGTTTACCCAGCTATGGGTGGGTACCAGGTGGCGTCCTGGGTAGTAAAGGCAGCCGGCATGTAGCTGACCACATCACTCACCGAGTGCCGATTGATTTATAAAATATAGGTCCAGCCCTATGTGGCCAATACGCCTAAAGGCGTGAAAAAAGGGTCCTTTTTTAAGTACACATGGTAGGAGAAAGCATAGAATGAAGAAATCCTTCTCGCTTTTCAAAAAATGTGGGAGGGGGAGCGTGATAACATGAAAATAGTTTTAGAAAATGAGCAGTCTTTAATCCTTTCTGTTGCAGACATCAGACATGTTTTAATATTATTGTGTATGTATTCTTCTGTGCTGCATTTACCCTTAATAGTGCGGTTGGGGTCTTTAGTTAGGATTTACAGCTAGGCTGCGGTATCTTCACCTTTCACCCCAACACATCTGATTTCAGTAAACCCTTAATTAGTCGCCTTTTACAACATGCTTTTTCAACTCTAAAACCTTTGATAAAAACTGACCAAGACTACTACATTTCTGCTACAGATTCTTATCTTTCCCTAGTTTCAAACAGTAACGTTTCAGAGAATTGTAAGCAAGGGACCCTTTTCCACGCCTTTTAGTCATGTTGGGCAAATAGGGCTAGACCTAAATTTTTTTTTATTCCTAACAACACTCGGTGGGCGATGTGGTCAGCATCATGCAGGCAACTTTTACTTCCCAGGACTGTACCTGGTACCCACTCAAGGCTGGGTCGACCTGGGAGCCAAGGTCATTTTTGATAAAAGTTCAGCATCCGTCACGAATTGAACCCACGACCTTCCGATCCGCAGGTGAGCGACTAGCTGCTAGACCACAGCGGCTCCCAGAGAATTGCCGGGGTGCCGGGTTTGATCCCAGCTGAGGGCCCTGCACCTTGCGTTTGTTTTGATAGTGGTATTAAGAGGCCGAACGTCTAGAAAGCAATGGCAAACTACTGGGCATAAATTTGCCTAGAAAAACCACAACAGCCAAAAAATGCTGGGGTTGGTTCTGCAACGTCCTGTAAAGGATACGCAACTAACTTTTTATGGTGTGGAAGGGCACAGACTAAAGCAGTTAAAACATTTTCGTTCTAATCAAACCAGTAAAAGTTAAATTACTCACTTTTTCTATGACAATATATGTATGTGAAATAGTTTGTTTAAATGTTTTCATTTTGAAGGAAGCATAGAATTCAAAGTTGCTGTTTCATAATTTCCACAGCATATGATCCCATGGCAATGTTCAAGTGCAAGGGTACATTTGTTGGTCACCTGGTACGTGCTGAAAATTGTTTTCCTCGCCAAATGTTATGTTATCACATTCAGCATCACAAGACATTAGGCATTCTAATGCCTGCTGTCGTTCATTGCAGCAGCCACTCCAGGGTACCTCTGCTGATTGTTTCCATGAGAAGTTGGTTATGATGTTTCCCTATTTCCTGGGAAGCACAGTGTGCTTCACTAAGTTTTACTCCAAGGCTGTGGACTCAACATAATGGCGTGGGGGAATAGGCCTCGGTAGACTGGTCCGAGCCACTAGGGGAAAAGAACTTTACGTCCATAAAAGCCAGTGTGTCTGATCAATGTCTGCCCATGTTACTCTACCAATTACCAAAGTCTGTCTGATAAATGACTGTCCGATAAACCAACTGTCCACTTGTCACTATGGGCGTACAGGTAGGCGCACAGTTTGCTACCGCAGTGACAATATATAACTCTAACCTCAGTACCTGTTGCAAAACCGCCACTACATCTTGTCCGAATGCCCGATAAATAGCAGCAGAAGACGTTCTAGAGCTTGACTAAAGTTCAGAAGTGGATGAACAACCAGAACTTTCCATTGGAGTTACAAGTCGGTGAATATGAAGAAGAAGATTAGCCAAAATAATGACTTCTGAGGGAGATAATGAGGAATCTTTATCACTGCATTACCATGTTCAGGTGCATCAGTCTTTGTAGGTGATGCAGGGATGTGGAATGACACTGTGATATGCATGTATATAGGTATCACGACCTATTTCAAAGTCAACTTTCAAGAGAATCAGCATTATTGCACTGGATTTTACCCCATATGGCTGCATGTCTATCCATAGAATGACTAGCACCTACCAGGAGTATCAGAAAAAGCTTAAACTCTAGTTCCACTAATGATCCCCAGGTGTAATAATACAGTCTATCATTTATCAGGAGAGTTTAGGATAAACACTTAGTTAGCATAAATTATGTTTAACCAATGCTATGCTGTCAGTGTCAAACATGAACACTGTCTTCAGTGTAACATCTTAGTAGAGAGTCGGCAGTACGAAACCCAAGTTCAAGGTGTCTCCTTCGTGCCAAAGAACTGCATGGCTGTTGGGTGAACAGTCGTTAACGATGGCAGGCAGGTCGTTGTAGGGGCGACGCCTGCTGGTGGATGTAATGTCCTAAGTCCCTTCCCCAGCTAATAATGAGGGTACTGCTGGGGTGACCGTTTATTAACCCTCATATAATTCTTCCGATCAAAATGGACGCTAGGTACGGCCACCCTTTTTTTTTTTTTTAAAGCCGTGGCAAATATTTTTTTTTTTTTTTTGCCAGACGGTGGCCGTTGACTTTTTGCTCCATTTGTAGACTGGAAGGATGTAGTTTCGTCGCCCAGCTTCTGAGTTGAGTGCATGGCGTGACACTGTGAGCTGCGTTTGTTTTTCGTTGGCACAGGAGCGGAGCATATGTGGGGTGACCCGTTTGCTATATAGCTGAAACTAGGATTACCAGATTACTGTCTTCAGTAGACAGAAGGAAGATAGTCTTGACATGTCATGTAACAAGACTAGCATCTGACAAGGCAACACAGAGAGCAGGTTTATACAGATACAGCGGTAACAGAGCCAGAGGTTGACCACACAGAATGTGGACCACAAAAATATCGGAGACACTGATAAGTACTTTATACAAAGCAAACGGAAGGGCCCATTCTAGCTATCTCTTCCTGTCCTGATGCTGGGAGACATTCCGGGAGTAGAAAAAAGAAGAAGAGTGGGGACCTAAGAAGACCGTATGCCAGGAAAAACAATTGCAAAGTTTAGCGAATTTAGCTTGGTTTGTGTGAAACATGAGAATTGCTGAACGATGCTAGGATAGTGCGTAGGATCAAAGGAAAGATTAGCAGTGTTGAGAGAGCTTAGGATCATGCTGGCCATGTTGCTTGGATGAGACGAGTAGAGTCTGCCAGGAATGATGAGTGAGAGCCTCAGAGTGAATCAACCCAAGCAGCCTACAGCGGCTACAAATATCTGGCCATATAGTAAATGCCATGATATAGATGCAAGATGTGACAACTGCCCGAGGTGACAATGTTTTAATAGGAACCTGAGCCTATAAGCGATTGTCTTTGAAGTTCAGTTGTATGCAGGGCATTTGAACTTGTGCGTAAATATGTAGTCATGTAGGCTATTGAGCTGAATGCTCTTTTGATTAAACGCTAGACATCAGTTAGTTCATTAACTGATGCCTGCGCAGAATAGAGGGAATTAAATGGTATGATAGAATCACTAGTGTAGAGCTTTGGGAGAGAACTAAGCAAGCTCCAGTGGACCAAGAGGTGAAGAAAAGGCTTTGGATAGGACACACATTGAAAAAAACCGGAGAACAATATAACTAGAATGTCTTTTCATTGGAACCAACAGGGGCATAAGAATAAAGGAAGGCCAAAAAATACATGGAGAAGGGAGCTGGAGAACGAAGTTAGAAAGATGGGGAGAGCTGCATGCGATAGCAAAGGATAGAATGACTTGGCTTGAGTTGGTTGAGGGCCTATGCTCCATTGGGGGCTAGAAAGGCACACAACTTGGAAGGGCAGATAAATGTTTGTCAGTGAGAATTTTGCTCCATCGCGGAGTCCTGCTTGTCACATTTGTCACTGTTGCTGTATCCACTGGGGCAGCTCTAGTCCCGACAGTCTGTAATATTACTCAGCCATACTTCAGGAGTACATTGTACTAGGAATCATAAAGACTGCACTTGTGAACCCAACAACTCAGTTCATGGAACACACCCATGACCTTCAGAGCATGAGGAGGACAGTTTAACCACTTAACCATGGAAACTCCTGAATAAGTTATGAAATAGTAATAACATTGCCAGGGAGGCTAACCAGGGTAACAAATGCCTGCAGAAGTTAGATGTGTTGGCAGAAAAGCATAAATATTGCAGACATGTTGTAAATGAGCACAACATATTTACATCTTCATTCATTCATTCATTCAGTAGCATGTCCCTCGCGGAACCTCGCTGCCATAACAACCTTCCGGAAAACCTTCCTATCATGAGCAAGATGTCCTGCGTCTGATACACCCATCTGGAGATCATCTGCCACATCCTGCACCCATCTTCTCCTTGGCCTTCCTCTTCCTCTCTTCCCAGGCATATACCCCTCCATTATTGTTCTCTCTAGACCTCCATGACGTTTCAAGTGACCAAAATATTTCAATTTTCTTTGTTTTATTGTCTTTACTAGCCAACCCTCTTCAATATTCAGCTCTTGAAGTATGGATGCATTTGTTCTTTTCTTTACCCAAGATATTCTTAGAACCTGTCTGTAACATTTATATTCAAATGCATTTATGCGCTGTTCCGCTTGTTTAGTAAGTGTCCAGGTCTCACAGGCGTATGTTGCAATGGGAAAGATGCATGCTCTTAAAAATCTGACCTTTGTAATTCTATCTGTACAATTCCATAATTTATTCAGTTGTTTTAGTCTTTGAAGAGCAATTGATAGTCGCCGTTTAATTTCTTTCATTGTGTCACCATTGTTGGTAACCAGTGACCCAAGATATTCGAAATTTTCCACCACTTCCAATCTTTCCTCATTAACATATATTTCCTTCTCCATGGCAGTTTTGTTTGTATGCATTATCTTTGTTTTTGCTGTGTTAAGAAATAAGTTATGATTTTCACTATTTCTTTGGAGTGAGGTTAATAAGTTTTCTAAACCATTTTGTGATGTTGATAGTAATACTGTATCATCAGCATAACGAATTTCTGGTATTTCATGACCACCGATGTTTAGGGCATCATATTGTTCCTTGTTTATATCATCTCTTACATTTCTCATTATATTTTCGGCGTACAGGTTGAACAAATACGGTGACAGCACACATCCCTGACGGACTCCTTGCTTGATGCCAAACCAGTCTGATGTCTCTCCATCTATTCTGACTGCTGCTTGTTGGTCTTGATAGAGCATTTTAATGAGCTGCACTATATGTGATGGAAAGCCCATATTCCTCATGATTTCCCAAAGCTTCTGATGTTGTACACAGTCAAATGCTTTTGAATAATCCACAAAACATAAGAACAGATTTACATTAAATTCTCTACACTTCTCTATTATTAAACGCATGTTGAATATATGATCTCTTGTTCCTCTTCCCTGTCTAAATCCAGCCTGAGCTACATTAATCTCTTCTTCATTTTTCTTTTGCAGTCTTCTCATTATAATTTTTAGTAGAATTTTACTTGCATGACTGATCAGGGCAATAGTTCGATAGTTTGTACATAATTTCAGGTCACCCTTTTTTGGTATTGGAATGAAGATAGTTCTCTTCCAGTCTTTTGGCCAAATACCATATTTCCATATCTTTTCACATAATGCATGATAGATTTTTATGCTTTCTTCTCCTCCCGCTTTAATCAATTCAGCTGGTATCTCATCACATCCAGGTGATTTACCATTTTTCAGGCTCCTTATTGCCCATGAAATTTCATCTAATGAAGGTTCAGGTTCTGCCTCTACTGTTACTGGTTCATGTATATCATTCATATCCTCACTGTCATTCATATCATACATTCCGCTGCAGTATTCCTGCCATCTTCCTAGAATTTGTCTAGATTCTGTTAAAGTATTTCCCAACCTGTCACAAATAACATTTAACTGAGGTTGAAAATTTCTTGTCAATAACTTCATTTCCTTGAACATTTCGTAATCTCTTCCATTTTTGTGATGCTGCTCTATTTTAATACAGCAATCTTGTACATACTGATTTTTATCCTTTCTTGTGTACTTTCTTATTTCTCGTGTAAAAAATTTATACTTCATCCTACTATCATTGGTTTCTCCTTTCTTTTTCAGTTCTCTTCGTTGTTTTATTAGTTCTAACGTGTATGGTGTGATCCATGGTTTATGTTGCTTAGTCCTGGTGGGTATTAAGTCTTTAGCTGCTGTTATCAAGATATCCCTAGCTTGTACCGCCAGTTCATCAGGTGTCATTTCCTCTTGTACAGACATCAAGACCTCAAAACGGTTCTTCACTTCTACGTTGTATGCATCTGGTATTTTTGTGAGATCAAATCGAAATGGCCTTGGTCCTCGGGTAAGCTTTTTGAGTTTTAATTTTAGATCTGCTTCTAGTAACTGATGATCTGTATCGCAATCTGCACTTCGCAGGGTTTTTGCAGATGTTATGCTCGATCTCCATCTTCTTTGTATTAAAATGTAATCTATCTGATTTTTGGTAACACCGTCAGGGGATGTCCATGTGAAAAGCCTTCTAGGGTGTTGTTTATAAAGTGTGTTAGCTATTGTTAATTCATTTTCTATGCAAAATTCAATCAATTTTTCTCCTGTTTCATTTCTATTACCCAATCCAAATTTTCCTAAAAACGTGTCTCTCATTTTCATCTCTGCCTGTACCTACTTTAGCATTAAAATCTCCCATTATTATTATTATATCATTCTGATTAATTTTATTTAATGTGTCTTGCAGTATGGCATAAAAATCTTCAATTTCGCCCTCCTCTGCTGTTGAAGTTGGTGCATATACCTGCATGAAAGTTATGTTTTTTTGGACGGCCTTTAAGTCTGATAGTTAGGATTCTATCACTAACTGGATTATATCCCATAATAGCTTTTGCTGTTGTTTTATCTAAACAAAATGCCACTCCGCTCTGGCCTCTTACATCTCTACCAGAATATACGAAAAAGCTTCCATATTCATTGATAAAATGTCCCTTGCCACTCCAACGATGTTCACAAATTCCTAAGATCTGAATATTTAATCTTTCAATCTCATCACATACTACTTTAAGCTTTCCTTTATACAGACTTCTCACATTCCACGTTCCTATTCGCATTCTGTTTCTTAGTCTGACACAGTGGATTTCCTTGGTAACACAGTCAGGATTAACTCCGTCATCACGATTACTAGTACCGACCCCTGTATCACACTCTTCCCCAGTGTTATCTGATCTGCCTGGCCTGGGGGACTCGCCACCAGATCTCTTCTGTGTTATGTTTTCTTTCATGATTGTTATGGGTTCTTGGCAAAATTTGCAGAAGGTAGTTTGCCGTTGCTTTCCTCCTGAGCAGTGACTATACTAGTCGGTGGCCATAGCCATTGTCTCTACTGATGAGATCATCTGCCTATCGCCGCAGAGTGCAGACCATAACCAACAATACCTGTCGGCTGCTCTTACACTCCATCCACCACCTGCATCTTGGGAATCAAATATCTATGTGTTATATCACTGTTGTTTATTTCCTTTATATGTTTGCCCATTTCTTCAGTATATTTTAAGTATATTATCATGTTTTTATTGATTGCCAGGGTCCAGTCTGGTGCTTGTGTGCAATAGGAGATTTGTTATTTAGTGGATCTACAGATAAAACCATTAAAGTAAGAGAATCACCATAATTATATTAGTTCTCTGTATTGAGAGAATGATGATGCAGAAAGTTGAAAATATATACACATAAAGCATCTTGCTTTAAAGATTGATTGTGGTAATTTTGGGTGTCCTTTTGTCTATATTTTTCTAAATATAGTTTTTATAGACATGATTTTTGTTGTTGCTTAAACAGTATTACACTTGTGTACATGGGCATCTGTGGCTTAGGCATTGCGAACGTGTTTTGTAATGCGGGGATGCCAGGTTCCATCCCGCCTGCGGACAATTTGTCTTGTGTTGGTTTCAACTGTGGTGCTGAGAGCTGACTGTTCAGAAGGAATGACAGACTACAGAACGTAAAATTTGCCTAGAAAAACCACAACAGCCAAAAAATGCTGGGCTTGGTTCTGCAACGGCCTCTAAAGGATACGCAGCTAACTATAACATGGGCATGAGTCTCCAGATGCTCTATCCGGCTACTTCACATGCACTCATTCTAAAATGAGTTCTATATTACATGAAGTAGAGATTGCAGTGAAGATATAAGAAGGTGAAGGAGGTAGCAACAGACGAGGTGGCTTGTAAACACCTCCTCTAACCTACCCCAGATGTTTAACAATGATTCTAAGAGGATTGTGAAAGACACTTACTAACTTCTAAGCCACAGAGCCAAACAGTTGTTTTAGTTTTAAATCTAATTTCATCATGGCAGTCATTCAAAAATAATTTAAGCATTATAAAAACTGATAACTTATACCTATAATTTTCAATTAAACAGCTGTCAGCAGGTCCTCTATACAATGTCACCTTTTTGTCAAGGCACACCTGAAAGTATCTCTTTCTCTAGCCAGTTCTCTAGCCCTATGTGCTTTCAAAGCCAATGCATTGTTAATGTCTTGTATCCGGCTTAGTGGAGGTCGGCCTCTGCGTCTTTTTCTGGAATCCCCATGTGAGTTCCCCTCATTGTGGGGAAAACAAGAATAGACCCACTGCCCACCAAGAAGCATGAAGTAAGATTGACTAATTGGGAACTTTCTTCGAAGTCAGAGATCTGCCTGAGAGGCAAGGAACCAAAAGCCTGCATGCAAATGAGTCAGACCTGTAAATAAACAGTTTCTAGAACAGGACTAGAGTCCAGAAGTGGATGAACAGCCACAACTTTCCGCCAGAGTTTACAACTGATGAAAGTGAAGAAAAAGAAGATTTTCTGGAAACTACCCTGCGTGATTGTTCTCTCCAGATCACTATGACCTTTAACATGACCATAATACCTCACCTTTCGGGACAAAGTGCTGTTTATGAGCTAATCTCCTTAATGCTCAGATCAAGTAGGATGTCATTATTTTTCTTCTAATCTATTTTATTATTATTATTTAATCCATTGTTTGCTTTCTGGATCTTTTTCACAACTTCACAAGAGCCTGGTCATTTTGAAGGCCTTCGTGGCAACTGTAGCGATTGTGTGACCAAGGATGCACCATACTTCACCAGTCCTATCAGTCTCTTACTTTTCCCATTTATCACCTCTCTTGATGTTGGTGTGGGGTTGGGATTTGTTTATGGGGGTGTCTGTGGACTATGATATTTGATATTAACTCCATTTTTTGCAAAGTCACAACCTCCTTTGATTTCCACTTTGTCTGTACATCACTATTCATCACTATACATCACTAAAATGACATGATGATATTATTTTATGCTAATGTTTTTAATTATTCATATTATCATCAGGTATGGGACACAAGCTCTAGCTACAAGTGTTTGAAAACTATGGAAGGCCACACTGGCATTGTACTTGCCTTGTGTGCACATGGAAATAAGCTGTTCAGTGGTTCACAAGATTGTAATATCATTGTAAGTATGGTAGGCCTAATGTAAATGGCGTGTATGTGTGTATGTATATATATTTTATGATGTTTTATTTCTCATCCTCCTTTCTTTCTCTACTTTCCCCATCCTTACTTTAAATTGCTCTCTTTGTTGAATTTCTTTTTTTTTAAATTTTATTTTTATTTTTGTTTTCTGAAAGAAATGTACCTCAGATAAATAAAATTCTTCGCTATTGATATTGGTTGTTCTTCCTTTTCTGGAGAAATTCATCACTTCTATTTTATGTACATTGATCTTCATATCATAGTTGCATTCTGCATTGAGTCTGTACAAATGTTCTTGTAGTTGTACTGCTGTTGGTGCCGTGATTGCCTGATCATTGGTGAAAAGCAATCCATTTAGTAATTCTCCGATGTTGTCCCCTTCGGGGGTGTTTACTAATTTGCAAATTTTGTCGACATATGTGATGAGCAGTAGTGGTGATAGAAGGCACCCCTTCCTCACTCCAGATCCAGTGCAGAACTTTTCTAACATTCCTGTAATTTTTCCAACTGCGCATTGATTGTTCACCTATAAACTCTTGCACAATTTAATAAGTTGTTTGTTTACTGTCTAATCCTGTAGTACAATGCCATGATGAGTCTATTTTTTCACCACAGATAGTATCTAAACAAAAATATTTGTTGTTGTTAAATATTGTTATATTATTATACCCACCACGTCTGCACACTATGCAGTTGCAACAAATACCAAAGCTGTTATACTGGCATAATGGAAACTATCCAAAGCGTGTTTACCGAAAGCCTGAATAACAGCTTTCTTGGGGAAAGAGTGTTAATACTGTGGTTAGGTATGTTAGTAGATATGTTAAAAAAACACATTCTATAGCACATTCTTCTGACCAGTTCCTTGTTACCAATGTCATACTTCAACATTGGCAGAGAAAGGGAAAAATTGTTACCACTGAAATGAGATAACTGAGAAAATACTTGACATATCAAGATAAGAAATTATGATATCTGAAAGTGGGGGTAGCGGCAATGCTGGATTTCTTTAGAAAACATGTGAAATGGTTTGGCTAGCAGACAGTATACCACAATGTACACAGACAGAGTGGAAATAAAAGGAGGTTGGGACTATGCAAAAGATGGACAGGGAATATCAAATATCATAGTCCATAGGCACCCCCATAAACAAAGCATACACATGGACACACTCCAGTTGTTTATGTCAGATGAGATTACATTAATTTTAGAAATTTCTCCTGACCTTCACATCAGAATAAGATATTTACATATAATAACTGCAATAACTGTTCTGTTATAAATAGCTTTTTAACTGCCTAAATTTATTTAGAGCATTACTGTGTTTCTTACTGGATTTTGACCAAGCACTTTTCAGTTTGGAGATCAGTGCCCTACCTTTATCCCACTTTTTCTGCTTTGTGTCTTACATTGTCACTCTGTATGTTTGTGATTTATAATACACCTCAGTACCGATTTTACATTAGAGTTGAATGTTCTCAGTGTGGTTCTAGTTTTAATTTTTGTACATATTCCACACATCTCCTAGTGCTTTGTATGTTCCTTATACTTTCGTATTTGTATTCTTGCATACTAGCAGTGTCTGCATTGCGATATTTGTGTTTATAATTCCTTGTCATGAAGTGATGTTTTCGTTGAGGTTAATCAGATTATAATTTACTGGTAATATTGACTGTTCTGCCAAGTTGGACAGCTCTAAAAGATATAGAAACCTGCTGTTTGTAAATGGTACACTGGCAACATTCACATACTGATGAAAACTTCTTCTTTTGTCATCTCACTGATACCAGGATGTAGCCCAGTGTCGTAGTTTTCTGTATTTGTCTTGCGCTTCTCGGGTGGCTTGTGTGATAGTTTTGTTAATCTTTTTGCAGGTTTCAGCTGCACCATTTATCCATATCTTTCTTGGTCTTTCTCTTGTCCTCCTCCCTCATCCTTGATGTTCTGCTGTAAAAAAAAAAAAGTCTCATATGCAGTTTGGTCACAAGATGGCTAAACCATTTCATTCTTTGTGTGTCAATATAATCCAGATATGGTCTTATTCCAGCTTTCTCTCTAATGCTGGTATTCATAATCCTTTACCTTCTTGTGATATTATTGACCTTGTGGAGACAGCGCATTTCACGTGAAGTTATTTTCTGTTCTATTGCCTTATTCATTGTCCATGTTTGGCACTGATAAATACAGTTTTGTCAAAGTTGGATGCATTGAGTGATAGATCTGATGATGTAATGTAGTATCATTTGCTTTATGATTATTTAAGTATTAAGATCAGGGATGAAGTTCCTTCCTCTCCATAGCACAAAGCCCAGTGTTGTGGAGACAAATGTGTTGTTCACACACTATATCCCTCTCTCTGCCTGCCTTGTTTACTCCAAAGAAAAGATAATACCAATATGCTTTGAACAAAGCCTGCTTAGAAGCTGGCAGATCAGAAGAGCAGTCTGCCTGTCAGAGAGACAGAGCACTGCTCTTCTGACAAGAATTTAGATCTTTAATTTTACCTGTAACCTGTGTTTATGTGTCAAATTTCTTTAACAGGTTTGGAATGTTGACACATTTGAATTTTCCCATATGATAAAAGGCAATGATAACAGAGTGTGCACCCTTGTTGCTGCCAACAACATGGTCTTCAGTGGATCTCTCAAAGTTATCAGGGTGAGTATCTGTAATTTACTATTACAGGCAGGAATTACATTTCATCACCCTGGGTCTGCAGGTTTCTGTTGACTGTCTGATCAGCTCTCTCCACTGTTGATGGTTAGGTGTGCAATGGACTTCATGGTTGCATGCCTGAAACCTATCCATTCCATCAGACAGGAACAGAAAGAAATAGATTATGATGTAACTAGGTCATAATGTGGCAATATTTATATGGGCTGGTTGGTAATTAGGCCTAGATTGCCGATTTTTCTTTTGGAAACATTTATCAAGCACCTAGAAAAAAAAAATTGCCTGACAAGCCAGATGTTGTAAAGATCCTTTGGCAGCAAGTAAACCGAATGGAGGTACAAATAATATCATCACGGTCTGAGAATGGTGCTGCAAGGTGTGACCAGGGGATCTGGATGACATTCAACGCTCAAGGGAAAGGCAAGATGGGTTTACAATCAGACTGTTGCTGGTACCACTGGAATTGGAACTCTGCACTTGCTGCTGAAGATAGGGCCGTAGCACTTACAAAAATATCCTGAGTGCTGTCATGCCAATTGTTAATTCAGCTTTTTTGTGACCTAAATTTATGTCTGCATTTTGATGATTTGAATGTTTTTGTTTTTCTGCATGGTTCAAAGTGGTGGCTCCACAATTCATCACATGCCACTATTTACATCAGAAAATTTACATCAGAACTGCATCATCATCTGCATACTTGTGATGCCACAAATCGTTTTTTGTGGATGATTTGCCTGAGGTGACTTGTTCTGGCAACCCTAGGTGCCTGCGTGCTACCTAATAGCTGCTTTGTTAAAATCTGCCAGACCTGTTAATAAGCCTTTCAGACATTTGCAATGTAGCTATTTGGACTTGTTTCATTTGATCATGCCACAAATATTGCAGGTGTATGACATTCATACGTATGAGCTGAAGCGAGAGTTAACAGGGCTGAATCACTGGGTTCGTACACTGGCTGCTACTTCTGAATATTTGTTCAGTGGCTCATTTCAGACTGTCAAGGTAAGTAAGCAAGTAAAAGTAAAGGTCTCTTTTCAATGCCATAAGGCATACAGGGCTAGACCTATTTTTTGTAGATCAATCGGCACTCAGTGTGTGATATGGTCAACATCACACCATCCGCCTTTACTTTCCAGGATTACACCTGGTACCCTCTCAAGGCTGGGTCGACCTGGGAGCCAAGGTAATTTTTTTTTAAATGTCCGGTCGGACTGTTAAGGAAAATTATATAAATTCCCTTTGTGGGTTTTAGGGCTCCATTGTGGGGAGGGGGGGGGGGGAGAGAAGACCTACTGCTGCCCTAACAAGCATGTCGTAACCGTTATCTGATTAGGGATTTTTCCTTTGAAGTCAGAATGCATCTGCCCGAGAGGTGTGGAACCAGCAGTCTGCATGCAAATAAGCCAAATCTGTAAAATGGAAGTGCATGCAACACTCAGGTTCTAGGACGAGACTACAGACCAGAAGTGGATGAACAACTAGAATCTTTTGCTGGAGTTTACAGCTTGTGAATGCGAAAGAAGAAGAAACATTATATAAATGTTCCAGCAATATTAATGAGTCAACAATTTAAGTAGCTATTTAGTGCCTTCTGGCTAATGTAGGCAACTTTTCTTTCACCATAACTTCTAAAGGAAAGTAATGTTGGCAAAATATAAATTGAATGAAATGTTAGATATTTTAATTGATCGTGACAGACAAGGGAGACCATCACTTTCCATAACTGTTAGACCAAAGATGTGATTATTAGTTTTCTTCTTCTTCCTCTCTAAAATTTTGTCTCTATAGGTCTTGAAGGCCCCACCCCCTGCCACTTTTCTCTCACCTGACTCCTCAAAAATTTTCCTTAAAACCATCAAAAATTTCTTTTTCAATTTTAATTAGTTGTTTTGCAACTTTCCATCATTTGCTACAAAATTCTTGTCATGAGTTGGTCGACAGCATATGCTGCACTGGGAGAAAAAAGGAAGAAGAAATTAACTATGTGAAATGAGGGTTACCTGTTAGTGTGACAATGACCGTCATAGAAGTTCATACCTTTCTAAAGCCATCATTTGAGAGACATGCTTGTTAGTTCTGTTTTTCTTTTTCCGTCTTTATTTTTACCTCTCAGTGTGCGTCAGGGCTGTGTACTATCGCCCCTTCTTTTCATAACATACATGGACGCCATATGTAGCGAAACAGACTTTAATCAGGAAGAAGATATAACAGAATTACTTTTCGCCGACGACCAGGTACTAATAGCAGAAAATATGGAATGCCTACAGAACCACCTAAATCAAATTAGTAACAAAGGGGAGGAATATAATATGAAAATAAACACTACGAAGACAGAGACAATGATGATAGGAAGACATAAAGACAATTTAGAAATTAAATTAAAAAACAACACCCTGAGACAAACAGAGGAATTTAAGTATTTGGGAGCAATTTTTACTTCAGACGGAAAACTGGACAGAGAAATTAGCTCCAGATGTGCCAAAGCTAATCAAGTAATGGGCCAACTATCTCCCCTGTTGACACACAAGCAGATACCTCAGAGTACTAAAGTGAATCTTATCAGAACTATTTTTTGGCCAATACTATGCTATCAGTGCCAAACGTGGACACTTACATCATCCAATGAACGTAAAATTGTGACAACAGAGATGAAATGCCTTAGAAGAGCTGCAGGAGTTTCAAGGAAAGACAGAATACAAAATCATGAAATCAGACGAATGCTAGGAATAAAGCCAGTCTTACAGGTCATCAAAGAACAACAAATGAAATGGTTTGGACACCTAACAAGAATGCCCTGGTACTATCTGCCACAGCGAGCCACACTAAAACGTTACAACGGGTATAAAGCGAGTGGAAGACCTCGGAAAAGATGGAGTGATGGCATTAAGAACAGCCTTACAGAAATGAACATCAGTCTTAATAGTGCTCTTGACAGAGCTCATCAACGAACATTACATCTCCCCCCGACACTTCGATGAGGTACAAGGTGGAAGAGAAGAAGAAGAAGAAGAAGAAGTGATAGATTATAAAAAATTGGATCTGAGGCAAGCTTTAATATGTGCTGCATTATTTGCCTCATGTCTTTGGTCTAACCATTTTATGGAAAGTGATGGTTTTCTTTGTCTGTTACCATCAAATCAAAACTAACTTAGAGAATTCTCAAGTACTATATTAATCCTATCCTGATATACAGAAGTGAATCGTGGACAGTTGGATAACTAGTGAAATCTTACTTGGAAGTGGCAGAGATATGGTTTTATAGATGAATTATGAGAATACCCTGGACAGACACAAAGAGTAAAGAAGATGTCTTCACTGAAAATGACTCACAAAGAGAACTGATTACCCACATCAGGAGGAGACAACATACATTCTTTGGTCATGTCCTGAAAAGGAAAAAACAGAGTATGTCATGATGGTGGAAAAGTGGAGAAGAAAAGAATTGGAGGGAGAAGATACTAGACAGTGATATCATGGCATGGAAGATGATATGTGTCACTAGACAGTGATATCATGGCATGGAAGATGATATGTGTCACTAGACAGTGATATCATGGCATGGAAGATGATATGTGTCACTAGACAGTGATATCATGGCATGGAAGATGATATGTGTCACTAGACAGTGATATCATGGCATGGAAGATGATATGTGTCACTAGACAGTGATATCATGGCATGGAAGATGATATGTGTCACTAGACAGTGATATCATGGCATGGAAGATGATATGTGTCACTAGACAGTGATATCATGGCATGGAAGATGATATGTGTCACTAGACAGTGATATCATGGCATGGAAGATGATATGTGTCACTAGACAGTGATATCATGGCATGGAAGATGATATGTGTCACTAGACAGTGATATCATGGCATGGAAGATGATATGTGTCACTAGACAGTGATATCATGGCATGGAAGATGATATGTGTCACTAGACAGTGATATCATGGCATGGAAGATGATATGTGTCACTAGACAGTGATATCATGGCATGGAAGATGATATGTGTCACTAGACAGTGATATCATGGCATGGAAGATGATATGTGTCACTAGACAGTGATATCATGGCATGGAAGATGATATGTGTCACTAGACAGTGATATCATGGCATGGAAGATGATATGTGTCACTAGACAGTGATATCATGGCATGGAAGATGATATGTGTCACTAGACAGTGATATCATGGCATGGAAGATGATATGTGTCACTAGACAGTGATATCATGGCATGGAAGATGATATGTGTCACTAGACAGTGATATCATGGCATGGAAGATGATATGTGTCACTAGACAGTGATATCATGGCATGGAAGATGACATGTGTCAAAATTGATTGAAAATGCATGAGCCAGAAGGTTGTAGATAGACATACCAGCACCACAAGGCGTGAACTATAAGATGAAATGGTTACAAGCAGTGACAAATCTTACAAGCAGTTACAAAATCTATCACAGGTAACAATCATGAAGTATTAGATTTTTTCTTTTTTCTTGCTGTGGTCCTGATTGATACATTTTAGTTTCTTTGAAACATTTTCATTTCTTTGCATATCTTTTCCTTCATCCTGCTTTGATCTACCCAGTCACAGTTCAGTGAATTAATTTATTGATGTTAGCTCAACTGCTGTCACCCCTGTTTCCATCACTGATGGTGTCTCATATTGATCTAGGTGTGGAACATTAACACCTTGGAATGTATACGGGATCTGGACACATCAGGAGGCAGTGTATACAGTATTGCCATCACCAATCATCACATTGTTTGTGGCACTGATAAAAACTGCATACATGTAAGTATATAGCTGACCTTTAAACTTTTCAACTATTTGAGTCCAAGGCGTGTTTTACTTCAGCTTGCTCTGGCATTGAAATGTATTAAGATTTTAACTTCTTGTCTCTCAAGAGGTTAAATAATAACATTATATGACAGCGGGATTTCAAGTAACAATTGGGGTGGAGGTCTTCTTTTTCTTTTGTCGTCTCACTGATACCAGGTTGTAACCCAGTGTTGTGGTTTTCTATGTTTGTCTTATGCTGCTTGGGTGATGGATTTATAAATCTTTTTGCAGGTTTTGGCTACACCATTTATCAATCTCTTTCTTTGTCTTCCTCTCGTCTTTCTCCCATATGTTCTGCTGTAAAAAGTCTAATATGCAGTTTGGTCTGGGGTAAAGTTTAGCTTAGAAGTGATATCACAGCAAATGAACATTCCAGTTAACATTTCATCCACATCTTCAGCAACCAGCGTAGAGTTCCAGTTCTGATGGTACCAGCACCAGGTTACTTGTATATCCATCTTGCTGTCCCTCTAAGTGTTGAGTGTCGGGCCAGAACCCCTGGCCACTCCCTGCTGAAACTATTTGTTCCAGACCATAATTATCTGTTTGTGTTGGCACTGTTCATAGTGACGGGTAGATAAAAAGACAAGATATCTCATTCAGCTTCTGCTTCTGTCCATTAAAGTGAAGGCCCTCAACTCACCAACCTGCTGTTTCTTGTGCTTTCTCTTTCTGCAGCTCACTCACTCCATATCATTCTCTTATTCTTTTTTTCATCTGTTCTTTTTATTGTTTTTTGTTTTAAATTTTTTTTTTAAACATTCCTAATGTCTGATTTGCCTTGTGTGTTATGGTACAAAGGAATTGTTTGTTGTACTGTTCTACCCTAGCATCCTAAAAATTCCAAGCTTTGTAACATCAGTTGAGGCAATGAGATTCCTGTTGTTTTTTATACAGTGTCCAAATGAGGACATCACAAGTGGCTCCCATCGATTTCAGATTTACTTTAATGGGAAATTAAGGTAAGGCCTAATGACCCCGCCATATGCAAAGATGATGTTGAAACGGGAGCCTTGAGTTGAAGTAGGATCAGCATCACAACACTCAGAACATTCCCATAAGTGCTTTGTCCCCATCTTCAGCAGCCAGTGCAGCGTTCCAGTTCTGATGGTACCAGTATGTCCATCTTGTGTTTCCTTGGATTGTTTAGCATAGGCTAGATTCCCTGGTCACTCCCTGCAGCATTGTTCTCTTCAGACCATGATGACCTGTTTGTGCTTCTGCACTGTACACATACTCCTAAAGGACCTTTGACACGTCTAGCTTGTAAAAGTAAAGTACAGGACCCTTCTCCATGCCTTCAGGTGTGTCGGGCATATAGGGCTAGACCTATCGACATTTGGTGGGTGATGTGGTCAGCATCACGCCAGCCTCCTTTACTTCCCATGACTTTACCTGGAACCCACTTAAGGCTGGGTCAACCTGGGAGCCAAGCTAATTTTGGAAAACATCTGGCTTCATCAGGACCCGACCCATGACCTTCAGATCTACAGGCGAGTATCTACCTGCTAGACCACGATGGCTCCCCATCTAGCTTGTCATGCATCATTTTACCATTAATTTATGCAGTACCAACCAATCCGTTATAATTTATGACTGCATTTGCCTCTGAATATAGCCGGGCCATAAATACGGCCTAACGGCTTAACAGGGTTTCCTGGGGCCTCTCTACCGGTGATCCTCATCTATGTGGTGGCACTTTGTGTCATCGGGTGTTTATCCCTTGTGTGATGTCCTGGTGGGGTACAACTCACCTACCTACCTGCCTACGTTGAGGAATATCTAATTCTTTAATTGGGCATCAAATTATACGTGTGATTAGATTGTTAACTGTAAATTAGCATTGTCTTGTCTTCTTTATAGGTATGGGAACAGAGCTCTTTTACTGAGCTGGACACACTGATGGGTCACTCTGGGACTGTGCATGCTCTTGCTGTCCTGCATACTGCTTCAGGGACTAAACTCTTTAGTGCTTCCTTTGATAGGTCCTTGAGGGTGAGTAATTTGCTGTGTTGTTTGTTATCAGTGTTTTTATTTTCTTATTATCATTTTCAGCCTGCACTATACTTTACCTGCTCTTCTTTTTTATTGTCCCTTGTTCATGTTTATTTTGAAAGGGGTGATGATCAAATTATGTCCCTCTGCATCAAGGCTGCATTATTCATTAGCCACCGGGTGGCCCATTGGCTCATCGGTAGAAGACTTCATTGCTGGTTGGGACAGTATTTGGGTCCATCTCCTTTGATTGCATCGACACTGCAGGAGTCCTTTTCAGGGCTACTTTTTGGCAAGCATGCTAAGCTATTTTATATTCCACATATTTCACACGTAACCTAGTCACAAATATGACCTAAAGTTGCTCCTTTGGGGATGCTGGTGGACATGATGATTTTTTTCCCAAAGCAAAAGCAGCCAAGGCTGCAATTATTTGTGTCTTCTGTCCAATATATAATTGAAGCACCCATTTGTTAGCACCCAACCATGTGTGATTAGAGAAATTCGATGTTAACAGTCATTAGACTGTTGTTGTTGTTGACATTATTATTTATTAGAAAGAATGGACTTGAGAATTTTGTAATGACTGGCAAGTTGGAGAAATGAGCAAGAGGAAGGAGAGAGATTGGCTTGAACATATGGATGGGAGCTAGACAAGTACACTGGCATGATCTATGGTTCTGGTGATCATGTGAGATAGCGACACATGACTGCCTATGCTTGTCGGCAGGGCACACAATGATGATGATGATCTTTTATTGGGACCCATAAGATAAGCTGAAATCAGTAAAACTGTAATCTGTCATGCATATTGCAAGAGTAATAAAGGCTGGTGTCAGACTGCCAACCTAATCCCTCAAAAATCTTTAGCTGCACGATAATACCACTTATGAAGGAGGACTCAAAGGATTTGGCAGGAGTTGATTGAAAACTAAGCCCCCCCCCCCCCCCCCCCCCTAAAGGCAGAATATGAAATGGAATTTATAACCAGGTTTTTGTCTAATGAAAATGATGAACATTAAATGGGATAAATTCAAGAAAGGCAAAGATATGGGAAGTGTTTGGATAACTGCTTATATCAAAAATTTGTTGTAAGAAAAACAGAAAGTTATAATCTTCTTCTTCGTGTTCTTCTCTTTATTAGTTTGTCCTACTTGATGATGCCACAAAGTATCACAGAGAGGAGTTGTATATAGTTTCCTGTCTTTCCTTAACTTGTCATATTGCCTTTCTGTAGTTTCTCTTTTACCCCCTCTACCCATTTCTTTCCTGGTCAGCCTCTTGCCTTAAAGCCTGCTGTTCTCATGTAGTACACCCTAGCTTCTGGCTGGTTTTGTTTCACTGTGACAAGGTGCCCAAATCATTTGATTCTTTGTTTTGTCATGAAATCATTCACCTTTATTGTTCCTACTGTTCTTCTTGGTTCTTCGTTGGTGACCTGATGACCTACAGGTGAACATCTAGCTGCTACACCACGATGGCTCCCATGAAAAAGATATCTAAGCTTTTAATTCAAATGGAATACTTATATTAGATATAAGTACAGAATGGCTTAGCTAACTGACATTGGTAGGACATGAACACAGACATGATCTGTGATCCTAGTGATCTTGTGAGATAGTGGTCTGTGTCCACCTTTACTCATTAGCATGGCAAGTGATGATGATTTTAGAGTTGACCTGAAAATCTGAATATATTTTAAAAAAAAATCCTTTTGTCAGAAGTCATTTTAAATCTGTCAACATTTTGGACACCTCCCATTTCTGTCTTCAGATACTTGGGTCACACAAACACTTGCATACATTTGTAAAATGTATAAATGTCATGAGTACCAACTAGCAACATGTGGCCATGCCAGGCAGTTCTCTATGTTGTAGCAGTCTATCCTTTCCAGGACTTTGCAAACCAACTTTTGCATTTATTGGCTGTTTATTGTTTTCTAGGCGTACCTTGAACACAAAAAGGGGTCCCCGTTCAACATGGCCGACTGACTTAAGCTTCAAGTGGTTGGGATGCTGGGCCGTCGTTTATGGGGACCCACTTAGCCGAAAACAAACACAATAACTAGTGCGGTCGTTACGGGTGTGCTAATTATAACTCCCATGAAGGTTGAAGGGGGTATCTGGGCTTGTGTTTGGCTGCCGCTAGCACTGAGACTTTTTAGTTTTACGGTATCAAACCTTCCGGTTCCCCAATGCTGTCTGAACAGGCAGCTTTCCACATCATTTTTAAAATCATTTGCAGCTGAATAAAAACGGTGATTGTGAAATTACAAGCCACAATTGTAACTGAAAGCTACAGATGCTTTAGTCTTTTGAAGGCATTAAATAAATAACTTTGCACACAATTATCTGAATAAATTGTTTATTGCAGCAGTTATCAGAGTCACTTAGAAGACTGATCAGATTAAAACTTTATATGCTTGATATCCTGGTGTTTGTAACACTGTGATTGGGTTCATTTCTGAGAGAAATCTTCCCAGATGTTGTCTAGAATTATGTAGCTTGTGTGAATGAAAAGTACACCGTTCAGTACCTAACATTTGTACGTACATGATATTTCTAGCAGAGTTTTAAAATATGTTACTACGAGAAAATGTTATTATATAGAGTCTTTAGGACACATCTTTAGAAAGTGGAACTGGTTCCGATTCCATTTTCCCTCTCCGAGTGCTGCCTGAAGAATATGGGGGAGAACTGTAATATCTAAATGCCTTTGGGACACACTTTAATTTATAAATTTGCATATTTATAAGTCATGTTCCAAAGTATGGTTTTGCAATATGTAACTGTAAAAACATCTGAAGTATCTAGTTTAGTTTCTAAATCTGCATATTTATTAGTTATGCTCAATAGCAGAGTCTTAAAATATGTAATTATAGGAAAATTGCAAGTGTACAGAATAGTATCGAAAATGAAACTCTGTTGCCATCTGAATGTGGTTTGTTCCACAATTTTGTTTTTAAATCTGAACTTTTATAAGTTATGCCTGCATTCCAATGTTTTAAAGTATATCTGTAGGAACATCTGTTGTAAAATAAATAGGAACATACATTTATCGAAAGTGAAACTCTGATGTCATTCAAATGTAGCTTGTGTTTCACGCTTTGGTTTCTAATTCTATACATTCATAAGTTATGTCTCCCAGCAGTGTTTTAAATTGTTCTCTCTGTCCTATAATGTCGGGCACATATAACTATAATGTTGCATACTCGTTAAAAGCATTACATTAACATTTAAAGTAAATGGATTATACAATTTCTTAACTACAGGATTGTATTTACTCTGTTTTTGTTGCTGTCATTGAAGTTTTTATTCTGTTACCAAATTACTGCTGGAGTCAAAAAGTCAGAAAAACTAAGTTCGTTAGAAGAGACAAATTTTTTAGAGAAAATGTAGAAATATGTCATTGTTAAAAATGAAGAATTGTGGTAACAGATTGTGGATTTCTGTTGTGCCTCCACAGTTTTTATCACTGTAGCCTCATTTTGTTTCTCATCTCCTGCGTTTGCCAACATCATTGAGATAGGAGATGATCCTGTAGTAGTCTTGAACTGAGTCAGCACTGTTTGGGAAACTGGTGTCTGGAACTAAAGAGACAAAAACATGCATCAGGGAAAAGAAATATTCATGGTCTTTGCATTTGAAACTTGATAACAGCGCAGTTGCAGTATAAGTGCAAAATAAGCAGAATATTTATCCAGCTTTTAAATCGGAATATCTTCTTGAAGTTTTGTTACTATTGTTAAGTCGAAGCAGTGACAAGAAGTAGCCACTGAGGCTCTAATAACAAAATGGCTAGCACATTGGCCTGCTGACCTGGTGATGATGAGTTCAATTTCATGTCGAGACAGAGTTTCTTCTTCTTTGCATTTGGTTTTGTATGCTCAGGTCAGATTGTCAGTGGGCTGCATGTCAGTTGCAAGTCCTTTGTGCTTGCTATTAGATTAAAAATAAAAATAGACCTGGGCTCACTGGTCATCAAGCCCAATGTAGGTAGCAGAAAGAATGTCCTGACAAGTAATGGTGACTGGTAGGAAATTTTACATGACTCATTGAGGCTGGATTTATCTATAAGAATGTTCTTCAATCTATGGGCCATGGAGCACTGGTGAGCCTCAGAAAGTCTAGGGAGTCGGCCAGAAATGTCTGCCCTGCCATGTAACGGGGCAGGGTAGGTAGTTTTCCCCTCTTTCAGGATTGAGTCTGTAGGATTAACACCTCAAGAATTAAAACCAAACAGGTATAGATCCTGGAAACCCTGTTCAGCTGCATAAAACAGTTTATATTGGGGCATACTCTAACCCATAAGCAGTAGCTGATATCGCCATTGTTGAAAATTGTAATTGTTATGCATCATATTTAACAAATAAACTGCTGTCTTTTTTGGGTGCTCATGTTTGGTAAGCGGGAGTCGCCGTGGCAGAGCGGCTAGACGCGCGCCGCGGATCCGAAGGTCGTGGGTTCGCTCCCTGGCGGAGACGGACTTTTCTTCAAAAATGACCTTGGCTCCCAGGTCGACCCAGCCTTGAGTGGGTACCGGGTGCAATCCCGGGAAGTAGAGGCGGCCGGCGTTATGCTGACCACATCACCCATCTTGTGCCGTTGGTCTTTAAAAATATAGGTCTAGCCCTATATGCCCTATACGCCTAAAGGCGTGGAAAGGGTCCTTTACCTTTTTTTTACTTATGTTTAGTAAGCTGTCAAGTGTGCCGCGAAATACTACCCCATTTTGGTGGGCCATGGGTTAAAAAAAAAGGTTGAGAAACACTGGTCTGTAAGATTATGGGACTAGAACCGTATGCTTGATGTACTTAACTCTTTTGCCTCACTAACTCTTTGAAGGTTAAACCCAGGGATTTCTTAAACAAACAAAAAAACCTAAAACAGGTTACTGATAAATAAGCTATTTTTAAGTTAGTTTAATACATTTTTTAGAATTTTGGGGCAAATATATAAAGGGGCATGATCTTTAAACATGAATGTAGTAGAGTCTTACAC